AGATATATCTTTTGAAGACAAAAAATATTTGACACGTTTTTAGGCTAATAATTAGTGGGAAAATTTTCCTTATACCATTTATAATTTTAGTCCCTATAAAAAGTAATTTGAACAGAAAGATAAATAAATGAAAAGATAGAGAAAAAGTATAATTTTTTAGCAAAATAAAAAATAACAAAGCCTAATTCTAAGAACCTATGACATGCCCACTCTATTTGCCTACAGAAATTTTCACTGAAAATTATTCCCGCTTTTCGGCTTAATTTCATCATCGATGCTACCAAAGCGTAATTTATTTGATTTGCTTACCCTCAAAATTTCTTGTGGATGCCATGGTTTCAATCCCAATCTCTTCATTTGCCATAATATTGATTTTTGGTAAATAAGTTCCGACAAATTTTGTGTTCTTGTTCAAGCAGTCTTCAAGGTATGCCTATCAGCTTCGTTTTAATCTTTAATTAATTTTTTACCTTAGTTTAATTAGATATGGTATTTCTATTGATGTTTTTGAAATATGACAAATTTCTTTAATATGAACCATTGAATTTATATGCAAGTTTTAACCTTTAATTAATTTTTCAACTATATATTTGCTCAAACGTAAATTTTGCATCTTGATTGATGTTTGATCAGTATAGTTTTAAATAATGCAGTCACTGAGATTGTGAGTTTTCACGGTAATTTTAGTTAACTTTGAAGAAAACAAAAGTGAAATTAACTACAAAGAAATTCAGTTTTATTGAAATGGGCTTGATCAATTTTGACATTATGTTTAGGGACGTTAAATTGGAATTGGGATTGTAAAAGATTTATTTTAATATTTGTTTTGATTCTAATTTCAATGTGATAAATTCCATCCTATGATCTGCCTTAATTTATTTCTTTGTAATTTAGATGCAAGCAAGGGCGAAACCATATATGCAAGACGGGATCGTTCATCATATTTAGAAATTGACTACACATCGTAATACGCTTTAAGAAAAAAAAAATTTTAAATTGGGCGAACGGATTTGATTTAGTTTTAGCTTCTGGTTGATTCAATTTTGGTTGCTGGTTCCGAATTGATTTCAAGTGCCTCCTTTTAAATTGCATATTATTTATTTTAATTTCTTCTAGGTGATAAATTATGATGAATGACATGTTGCATCTAAACATTATCTGATATGTTTCATTGCATATTTTAAATATACTATGTTAATGGTAAAAACTATCTTTCTTTGTATTTTGAATCATTAATGATGAAGAACTATGTTACCAGGCAAAGTGGAGTGTGTGTGGGCTACTATGTAATCTGGGACTCAAAATGCGAAATGGCAAACGTTACGGGTGGCTTAGATTTAATTGCCAGATCGACGACTGGGGGATTAAATATTTGAATTCTACAGCCAGGATTAGACATGGTTGTCTACAAAAGGGGGAAACTTAGGCGAATGTCAGCTTTCACTTTTGCCTTGACGTTGTGTTCTTGAGTTCCTTGCATTCTCTATGCTTTTCACCATCTTCTTCACTTTCGGCCTTTTTAGATTTTGAGAAATTTGTGCTCTGATCGAGCAAATTTTTGTAAGTATCTAAAGAACTAAGTAAGTTTTGTCACTGACATGGCGTCATCTTCATCTGAACGGGTAGATCTGAGGAGGTTGGGTGCTGATATGGGGGTAGAGATTACCAGTACTTCTTACCTGGTTGAGGCTATTAAGGCTGGCCAGAGTTGCCTTCCAATAGTTGGGAGAGGGGCTGGGAGCGAGGGGTGGAGGGCAGAGAAAATTCAGTCCATTGCAGATGCCCCTTTTTTATGAACTTGAGAAAAATATCATATCCCTTACAACATTGAATTATTAGCCCCTTCCCCCGATGAGCAAGCTTGTTACTCGAGATCGGGGTGTGTATTTGTCAGTGAGTTCCTTCTAAAAGTGGAACTTCGAATTCCATTGCACCCATTCTTTAGCGCAATCCTTAGGTTGTATGGGTTGGCTCCTAAGTACATGACTAAAGATTTCATGTAGGCAATTTATTATCAAACGTTAGATAGTAAACCAATTTATATGTCATTTGACGTTCCAATCTTGGAATATGCTGTACACGACGTAGATGTGTACAATATGGCTCGATAGCAATGATCCTTTCATGGTTGCTCTATGACAATCAAGTTATAAACTGTACTGTAAAATTGGTTTGCTAGTTGAAATTAATCAAAATGATAAAGTGGGTGATATACGAATATTTCTTCTCTCTCTATTTTTTTTT